AATTCAAAATCTTTTTCGTCAAAGAAAAGTTATTAAAATGTTTCTTGCATAAGAAAAAACTTTGTGTCTAATATATAGAGTTAATTTATTTATAAATCATATATACAAATATATTTTATATTTAATTTAAAATATATAAATTATGTTATATTTAAAATTTATATAAATATATATTTTTAAAAATATAAATCGTATTATAGATTTATGATAGAGTAAATTAAATTCTCTTCTTCTAAGAATTACGAGTATTACACTACTATTCATTTTTATATTAAAAATTAGAGTCCCCTCTTTTAAGAGTGTGACAGTCTTATTACCCTCAACACATATATTGTAATAATGTAAATAAATTAAGAAAATAAACTTTTCAACATTGGTAAAAAAGGTTCACATAAAATCTTCATAACTATTGTTCAATATCCAAAATAATTGAAAAATAAAAATTAGAAAATAAAATATAAGAGTTTACAAATTATTTTTAAAATAATAAGTACAATTCCAACTACATATAAAAATCCATGTCCTAGAAATCCTCTGCCCCGATGTCACTGTGACGTAGCAAGTTGGTGTTTTAGTAGCCCAGAACGGGAAGTTCCCAATTTGGAACGGGCCGTTCCAAGCTATTAAAATGACTCGTATATCGTTGTTGAGAACGGGCCGTTCTGGAGGGAGAACGGGCCGTTTTGGATGGAGAACAGGCCGTTCTGGATGAGTTCCAGAACGAAACATTCTGATTTTAGAACGGGCCGTTCTAATTTTAGAACGGGCCATTCTAATTTTAGAACGGGCCGTTCTGCACGTGATTTTTGCACATGGTGAAGGGGTGCAGAACGGGCCGTTCCGAATTCGGTACAGGCCGTTCTGGCCACTCCGGAATGTCTATAAATAGAGGTTGTGAGCAGTTGAGGAGAAGAGGTTTTTAGAGAGAAGTTTTAGAGAGAAGGGCTCTGGAATAGAAAGCTTACTTTTGAAGGATTGAAGTTCCAGGTTGAGCTTCGGAAAGGGAATTCCGCTTCTTGGCCATCCTGATCCAATCTTCAGGTAAGGGAAGCTAGTTCTTTGGCTAATTTTGTTGGAAAATGAGTTCATAAACTCATTGAGTGGCTGATTTTCTGATGATTGATGAGCTGTTTTGATGAAAACGAGTTTTCGGGGTTTCTGGGGTTTTGATGAAAATCTTGGGGTTGATTGTGGTTGCATGTGGGAAAAGCTGGGATTACTGGGTTGTTTGATGAAAATGTGATGTTTTGAGCCGATTGCATGCGTTTGGAAAGATGAGTTCGTGCAGGTTTTGAAGAAATTTTTTGAAGTTTGAAGGTTGCTGCTGGGTATCACGTCGGGCGCAGTTCTTCGTGCCGGGCGCGTGACCATCAGAGAGCTCCATTGGGAAAGTCCGCCGGGCGCAGTGGTGTATGCGTCGGGCGAGCTTGAGGGTGTGAGCCTTTGGATGGCCCCCACCGGGCGTGGTTGGACCGCGCTGGGCGCGATATCAGTAAGTGACATTGCTTGGGGATTTCTGGTGAGGCATCGGGCGTGACCTTGTCTCGCTAGGCATGGAGACTCGTTGGGAGTCTCTACCAAAGGTGGCGCCAGGCGCAATTTATATTGCGCTAGGCGTGAGACTTTGGGGAAGTCTCTGCTTACCTTGCGCCGAGCGAGGGTTTGCACGCTGGGCGTGTGAGACCTTTTGAGGTCTCTGCCTCCTAACGCGCTGGGCGCTGTCATGATATTTGATGTGAAGATGTTATGTGTAGAAATTTGCTGATAGATATGCTGAGCTGAGCTGTAGATGTTAAATATTGTTGTGCAGACTAGTTGATAATGTTGAATTATGATGTTGAGCTGTAGTTGATGAATATTGCTATGTTGTAAGTTGTTTAGCTGTGCTGGATGCCGATATTGTTGTGTTGTAAGTTGTTTAGCTGTGCTGGATGTCGATATTGCTGTGCTGTAAGTTGTTTAGCTGTGCTGGATGTCGATATTGCTGTGTTGTAAGTTGTTTAGCTGTGCTGGATGCCGATATTGCTGTGTTGTAAGTTGTTTAGCCGTGTTGGATGCTGATATTACTGTGCTGTAAGTTGTTTAGTTGAGCTGTAAGCCGCTATTGCTGTATGCTGATTTGATGTGCTGTGTTGTATATTGTTGACTTGTGCTGTTATTGCCGCTATGCAGTGCTGTTATTGCCACTAATGTGGTGCTGTTATAGCCGCTAAGTCGGTGCTGTTATAGCCACTAAGTCGATGCTGTTATAGCCGCTAAGTCGGTGCTGTTATTGCCACTATGTGGTGCTGTTATTGCCGCTATGCGGTGCTGTTATTGCTGCTGTGCAGTGCTGTGCTCCGTGCTGTTAGGAGCTGTTGTAGGCCGTAAGGCTGGGCTGTTGTAGGCCGTAAGGCTGAGCTATTGATCACTAAGACTATAGGAGATTTTTTTGAAATTCCTCATCCCATTGTGTGGATTGAGTGGCCGTGGTGCTCTTAGAGCCCAATTTGTTGAAAACCCTCCCTGGAAAGCTGACCCTTGGAGTGGTAACTTGCTGTTCTCCTCTAGGTTCTTAGTGATCTCGTGTATGGGCAAGGTCGAGGCACACGTGTATAAAGCGACCACGGTATAGGGGCCAGGTCGAGCTATACCGCTTACAAGCGACCAATACTAACTTATATGTGTGACGACGCATTGTGTTTTTACTGTTGTTTACCGCTGTGTACTGCTGTTTACTGTTGTTATTGCTGAATGATGTGAGATGTGTGCTGTTATATATATTAAGCTGATGTTGTTAAGCTGATTGATGTGTTGATAGCTGTAACTGTTTATTATTCCTATATTTATAATTGAACAATTTTAATCTCTTAAATATCATAATTGTTTGATTTTAGTCTTTTTCATTAAAAAATTAATAATTTTAAAATTTTAATATATATATATATA